TTTCGAAAACTCATTTCAGTCATGTTATTAGCTATTCAAAGGACGTTTGAATGCCAAGCTTCATAAAAGTCTGAAATTTTTTAAAAATTCATCCGCCGTGTTAGATTCGCCATATTGAATTTTTGAAATTTGATTTAAGTTATGCATTCAGCGACTCAAAGAACCTATGAATATCAAAATTTCATGAAGGTTTAACAAGTTTTTTAGAAATTCATCCGCCATGTTGAAATTTTTAAAATTGATTTCAGATTCGCAATCAGCAACCCCAAAAACTTTCGAATACGAATTGTGATAAAGTATAAAAAATCACAAGGCGATGTTCTATTGACCTATTGCTGTTGTTAAGGCTGGTTTTTCGCCATAGAAACCGTAAATGAACTGATCTAGAAAAAAGTTGAATTTTGTTGGACAGTGTAGTAGGCAACTCTCAATTTTTAAATTGAGTAGGTAGTTGCTTCTTTTATAGGAAATTGCATACGGCCGATGAACCCACTCATGTCATGTCAATGCAACTTTATTTTCTCCTGAGTATGCGAAAAATAGTATCCTTTTCAGAACAATTTAATTTTCCGCCAACATGTTAGCATATGAGCGCACATACTTACATACATAAGTATGTGTATAGATACTTGTAAACCTAAAAAACATAAATAGCCGCCCATACAATGTTTAGTAGAATTTATAAAATGAAAAGTCAGCACTTATGACAACCAGCTGTCGTTGCAGCAACAAATTCAATATATCCATTGAAAAGTACCTCTATGTTGCAAATGTATTTACGCACGCAAGCTGCAGGCAACATTTTTTTTACTTACTCTTTCAATATTCCATCCCTCTGTATTATTATTATTTTTTTTTTTTTGTAAATATTTCAGTTTGCCGGAACTGCTTGTCAATTTACCCTATTACCCAGCCACCTACCTGATGCTGACGCTCTCCGGCGCCATGACGGTGTTCACCTTCAGTGCCGTGGATGGATTCTTCCTTTGCGCTTGTTTGTATACGTGTGCATTGTTTCGTATGTTGCAATTTGACATACGCCATACATTCGCTGAATTGCAAGAACGTGAGTAAAACCAGCAGCAGCCGAATGCAGTACGCACTAAATGCACGTACATACACCAAGATTCTTTACATAACCACCTAAAACATATGAACATGCATGCATATGTATGAGCATGCATTGCACATGCTCCAACCAATTACTTACACATAAATGTTTACATGCATACATATGCATTTTGTGTATGCACTACACGTACCGTACACTCGGCCGCGCGGCGCTACTCTCCACCACAGTGAATGACTGACTCTACATGCCACAGCGGCTAGCAAGCAATTCACTAACTGCACTCACTCATCTAAGCGAACGTCAAATAGTGATTGATTCAATTTACAAAATTTTTGCAAACCCTTTCGGCTTCTTCTCCTCCACTGCAACTCATCTGCACTTAACAAGCGTAACTTTTACTTTCCTATGTTTTTTTTTTCAATGGCCATGTTCCTCTTCCTCGTATGTATGTACATCTTGTTCATGACCAATCGTGGTTGTTAGTGGAGTACTCCACGTTGTTGCAAAATGTGCGGATACAACGTCGTTTGGCGGTGCTGGTTGAACGCCACAACAAAGTCATCGATCTGTGCAGCGATTTCGCATCGGAATTTACACTCATCGTGCTGATGCATTTTCTTTCAGCCGCGCTAGTGTTGTGCTTTAGCATTTTGGATATGATGCTGGTGAGTTGATGAGATGGTTGCTCGCTTGACTACTATATTTTGTAATATTGATTAAGTGTTTGTTGTTATAATTGGTCATTGGAAGTGGACTGTTATTTTTTCCACTATCGTTATCATTAATGTTTCCGTTACCATTACTCTTCCTTGTTTAAGTTTAAGTTTTAAAAGTCCTGATTTCTTTCGAGAAATACTGGATTCTTTACCATTATCATTACCTTTAACATTACCATTACTCCTAGTATTAAAATGCTATTACCATCATCATTATCATTGCAATTACCATTACCAATACCATTACAATACTATTACTATTACCATTACCATTACCATTACCCTCCTTCTTCTAAAGCTTAAGTTTAAAATTTTCTGCTTTCTCTCGAGTAATACTCAATTATTTTCCATTGCCATTAAATTTTCTGCTTTCTCTCGAGTAATACTCAATTATTTTCCATTGCCATTACCATCAAAATTTCGATTACGATTACCATTACCATTACCCTCTTCCTTTTAAATTTGAAGTTTTAAGCTTCCTGCTTTCTCGGTAAAAGTCAGTTCTTTACCATTACCATTAGCATTACGATTACCATTACCGTTACGAATACCATTGCCGTTACTATTACAAATATAATTTTAATTACTATTACCATTACCATTACCACTACCAGTATACTTACCATTACTTATGTTCTTTGAAAGTTTAAGTTTTAAACTTCCTGCTTTCACTCGAATACTACTCATTTCTTTACCATTACTATTAGTACTACAATCAAAACTACCATTACCATTAACATCACCTTTGTCATTACTATTTCCATTACCATCATCTTTGTCATTACCATTGCCATTACCATCACCTTTATTATTAATATTTTCATTACCATCAACTTTATCATTACTATTTCCATTACGATCATCTTTGTCATTACCAATTCATTACCATTACCATAACCATCACCTTTATTATTATTTTCATTACCATCAACTTTATCATTACTATTTCCATTACCATCATCTTTGTCATTACCAATTACATTACCATTACCAGTACCATTACCATTACCATCACCACCACAATTACATTTACCATTCTTATTTTAAGGTTTTGTGTTTTAAACTTCTTACCTTCTCACGAGTAATATTCACACCTTTTACATATCTCATTCCAGAACTCCGCCTCCATTGGCATACTCACGTACATCTTCTACAGCATTGCCGCACTAACACAACTCTTTCTCTATTGCATTGGTGGAACTTATGTTAGTGAAAGTGTAAGTGTCCTACATGGAGAAAAATTAAGCATAAAATTATCTTAAAATCTAAGTACTCGCAAATTCTATGTTTTTAGAGCGTGGAAGTGGCTCAAGTTATTTACGATATTGACTGGTACAAGTGTGATTTACGCACGCGTCGTATGCTCTTGATAATGTTACAACGTGCACAGAAAGCCAAAACGATTGCAGTGCCATTCTTTACACCATCGTTGTCAGCTTTTCGATCGGTTAGATGGTGACAAAATAAATTAAAAACAAAACTATGAACTACGTTCATAATTTGTTACTAACTAAAATTGATTCTTTTTTCATAACACATTTGTCTACTTTCAGATCATAAGTACAGCTGGTTCGTATATTACATTACTAAAGACATTCATATGAGTACGGCTAGTGTATTTATTTATTTAATATGGCCAAAAGGATATAAGATCTTTCTTGAGAAAATGTGAATATGTAAAAGCACAAGTTTTTAATTAAAAATATTAAAAAAATCAATTAATTAACAATAAAATCTGAAAATTTAAAAAAAGCAAGTAAGGGAGCTTGTTTTTGTAAAACTTTCGTACCAGAACAAACAAAATCTTTCAAACTATCTTATCTACTGTATTTCAATTGTCTTACAAAAGACTTTCAACTATCTTAGTCAGAATTGTCCTATAAGGCCCTCTATCATTCCACAAAATTCTCCACATAGGTCACTCACGCTGTAATTAAACGTCTTCACGCTTTAGTCCTTGAAATACGGCAGTAGTTTTTTCGCCATTGCATTCGCAGTGATCTGGAACTTAACTCATTGCTACCGTTTCTTCTGCTGCCAACAGTGGAAAAGTACCAAAATGGGCTTTGATTTGCTTGAAAGTCATCATCTTGAGATAACAGAAAATATCTCATTAACTTTCTTTTGTACATTGAGGTTTTTGTCAGTCGCAAATGATAAAACTCGGCCTAAAGCAAAAGCTTACCGAATGCTTACTTATCAGGCAATGGCTAGTTGAACTCCTATGAGTAGCGAGAAGTGTAACTTGCTTAGCCTCAGGGGCTTCCTAGCCCGCCTCCGGTCAACACGTGGCCAGAAGTATTTAGCAGCCTTGCATTCCACTGACTTCGATCAGCGCTCGCTGAGCTGACCAAACGGCCATCTGCCCGCAAGCAGGACACACGAGGTCAAGGGAGCTCCTAGGCGTTCTCTATAGGGGAGCAATTTCTCAAGGGTTCCCTGGTTTGCCAACTCATCGACCACACAGTTTCTAGTAATTTTGATGTGGCCCGGAACCCAAATAAATTTAAGAGCGTAGTAAACCGATGGGGTCGATAAGGAAGTAAAACAATCCTTCATCGTTCTCCAACGAACCGTCAAGGAGCCAAGCAATTTGATAGCTGCTGGCTTTTGGAATAGATATTCATCTACTTACGATGGCAGTAGTAGTACCTTCTCGTAGATGAATACTGTCAAAATTTCACTCGAATCGAACTCATAGTTTTGTTTTGACCGCGTGTGGAAGCGGGTGTGTCCGCGGATTTTAGAAAACTGGCCGGTGACTCGATTCCTGTTTTTGGAAGGGAAATCGCGCAGCAAAATCAGAGCGAGTGAATGCTGTGTAAGGTTACTCTTCTTCTTCGATGGCGACCGTCAAAAATTGGTTTAACGAGTTTCATCGTGGTCGCTCGTCGGTTTTTGATGAGCCACGACCAGGTGCCCCGAAAACGGCTACCAAGGAGGATAACGTGACAAAAATCCACGATCTCGTATTGGCAGACCGCCGATTGGAGGTGCGCGATATAGCTGAGACAGTAGGCATCTCAAAAGACCACGTGGGTCGAAACAATGGACTTCACCAGGCAAACGTGCTCCCAAGAAGGCAAAACCTTTGCCATCGGCCGGAAAGGTGATGGCCACTGTTCTTTGGGATTCACAAGGTGTGATATATATCGACTACCTGAAGACTACTATGCCGAATCGCAGAAATAATGGCCCCCTTTGGTGAAGAAAAAAGTGCTCTTCCCCCATGACAACACACCGGCTCACACCTCCACCGTCGCGTTAGCCAAATTTGTCGAATTGGGCTACGAAGTGATGCCCCATCCACAGTATTCTCCAGGAAAATACTACAGTGATCCAGTACCGTAAATTTCAGGTTAATGGAGAGTTCTTCGCAGAAGACTCCTTCATATCTTCGATCCATTTTTAAAATGTTAACAGGACCCGATTTCCAGATACAGGAATTGTCCTTTATCTCTGGAATCTGGGGCGACAAAGATCCATTCGGACCAAAAATCGGCTTGCAGAGGTTTGTCCAAGTCGGGAGGAGCTTGAAAGATTTTTAGAATAATGGAATGCCCACAGCTCGACGTGAACTTAAAGCCCACCCCACTTACCTTACTCCGACGCGCACAGCGGTAGCTCTGCCTGCCATACCTTGCCGGCGTACCCCATATAATGAAATTGGCTTAATTATAATGGACGTCCTGAAACAATATAAGCTTACCGCTATCTTCTTGACTCTATCCTCTACGTTGGGCTTCCAGGAACGCTTGCTATCAATGATCAAGCCCAAGTACTTCACGCTGCTAGAGAACCTGAGTGGAAGACCATCCGTTGAGGGAAGATTGGAATTCGGTATCTAATATGTATCTCCTAGTAAAAATAAAAAGAGGCGAGAGTATCAGGTACTCATAAAATTTTATGTGTCAACATCTGTGTACCGCCTGGCAAAGCATTAGGCGTTTCAGTTACATACATATATACATATGTATACAGGTTAGGTAAGAAAGTAAACATTAATTTAATTCCATTTTATTCATTTTGTCGGGACCAATACACGACATTTTCATAACCGCTTCGGCGATAGTTTAGGCCTATTTCAGCATTATCTCCGTAAATGATCCCGAACGAGTGCCAAAATTATCCTGAAGTGGTTCTGAATAGGGACCAAACATAACAGTTATTGATGCAAATTTGCATTGAAAAATTCACTATGAAGGAAATGTTCTACAACTTAAGTGATATATACTGATCGATTTCTTTTTTTTACCGGGAACAAAATTAGAAAATAAAATTTTATTTCTAATTTCTATGCACAATCAAAAAAAAAATAACAGTTATTATTGATTTTTATCTAAATAATGTGCAATTAACAGTTATTTTTCATTTTTATATTATATGTCTTAGATAACAGTTATTGAAGACTGGCTGTTATTTGCAGTTTATTTAGATAAAAATCTAAAATAATAGTTATTTTGGATTTATAAAATAAAACAGAAAAAATTGTTATTTAAGGATTAATTAAATAAAAGTAAAAAAAATAATTGTTAAAGAGTGATTTTTTTTAATAAAAGTTCTAACTGTTACGATCCCTGGTTCTGAATATAATTCGCGAACTAGTCTCGAAATGATCTGGAACAAGTTTTGAATAATCCTAAAATAGTGCCGCACAAATCCCGAAATGTTTCTGAAATAGTCCTAAGCTAGTCTCGCGATAGTGCAGAACTAGTCCCAAAATAGTCCAAAAATTTCGGTTACGAAATCCCCCCGAAATAGACTCGAAATGGTTCTGAGCAGGTCCTAAGGTGGCCCGAAATTATCCCGAACTAGACCCGAAATATTTCTGAAATAGTCCTGAACTCGTCTCCGGATGGGGTAGAACTTGTCCCAAAATGATACTAAAATAGTCCTGAACTAGACGCGAAATGATTCTCAATCCAGTACCAAAATGATTTCGAACCAGTCCCGAAGCTTTCCATTTGTTATAAATCCATCTGAATTACTTTATTGTTTATCCTCTAGGTAAATACATATATACTCAGAAATTCCAGGAGTACTCTTTCTAAAAATTAGTCGACTGCTATAGAAAGTTGTTAGTGTAGCTTTTAGCTTTACTAATTTAGATGTACATACATTCGCAAACATACATACATACATACACACCCAATTATAAAAGCTGTCAAATACAATCTGCACCAATGGCAATCTCGTCTGTGACCTGCTTTAGCAGCTGATGAGCTATGCCGCATGCCTTTGGCTTTATAGTATTTGTTTTTGTGCAACGTAGCGTATATTCGCATATCCTTATGCACCAACACAACTATGAACGAACAAACAACAGGGTCATAGTTTTGAGAGCGTGGGATATTGATGTTGCGAGCGATGTTGTTGCTGCTGTTGCGGTATTAGAGCTAGACCACAAAGTAGAGCAGCAGCAATTGAATAGCGTTGAAGGCGCTATCGCTCGCTACAAGGCACATTCATGCCAATCGGTTACATGCATACGCACACACACACACACACATTGCACACGCACACACATTGCACACACACACGTGCTGAATTCCAGCTAATTTTTCAGTGGAAGCGGCATTGCATGGTGTGCACTGACTGCAAAGCATTGCTTCACTCGTAATGCATTTTTATGCGCTTAGCTACTTTTGTGTTAACGCTTCGACGCCTTAGCACTTTCATGATGATGCCGCTGCCAAAGGAGCTGTTAGAGCTGTCGGGGCTACTGGTGCAACACTGTGGCTAGTGGGAATTCAGCTGCTGCCGCCGCCGCCTCCACCATGCTCTGTTTACACATTGCCGTGCTTGTTAATTTGTCGCTGATGGGTTCTCGATAGTCGCTACCTCGTTTGCTTGCATTTAGCGCGTCGCATGTGTGCTTAGGTGGCGCAGACAACGCGTCAGTCTGACGTTTTTAATTATCACGCACTATCGCCTACGAATGTTCAATGCCTTATTGTTTTTGTTTCCTCGCATTGCGCAACACTGTTTTACTAACACTTCCATTGCTCCTCTATTTGCAATCTGTATTTTGTAACTTTTTTATTTGCACTCGGGTGTGTGTGTGTGTGTGTGGAGTGTATGCTCTTCCAAAATTCCTTCTTCCTGTATATGTACATATGTGTAAGGCCTGCGGCAAGCGTTCATCTGTTGCCATCATTCGTTCATGCCACAGGAAGTATGCGCATCTGAGTTTTCAATTGGATCGCTCCACGTTTCTCGTACTTTGTTCCGTAAGTTTCGCAGTAACATCGACAGGCATCGTTCAAAGTAGCCATTTGATTTAGCTGTTTTCCGTTTAACCGTTCTCCCCTTGGCCGCTTGCTGTTTGTTGCTGCATTGCTTAGTTCAGCTGTGCAGAGTTGAATTGATTGGCAAGTGGTGCCTTTTGTCTGGCATGTAGGGTTTCTCCAATTGCACTTGCTTCATTTTGCGCTGCGCTTTGGTTTCATTTTCACTTGTCTAGGCAATTTAATCGTCTTTCTTGATTTCATTGAAAGATTTAAGAGTTATGTGCTTATGATTGGTTCTGTTTGAGTTTGTGAATATTGCCTCTTTATTTGATGTGTATCATGGAGGCTATTGTTCCGGCGGTGTTAAAATAAATGAGGTTACGAGGACTATAACAAAAGTTCCATACGCCCACTAGGAGACATAAATGGCGCCCATTGT